TTTGGAGACCCAATTCAGTGCATATCATAACTGCTAACCACTAATTTCTAACTTAGTTGTCATTAAAACTCAACTTCCATAACTTTTTTTCAGACATGATATTTTAATTATTTTCTTTATTAAGTGATGTATTATCTATATATTAGTCATTTCATTAGTTATTATAACATGAAAATTGTTTAATATTTCTCAAACCTAATATATTTAATCTATGAATTTGCTTAATGCCGACACTTGAGCTAATCATTTTTTATTTTTATATTATTTAGAATGATTTACACACATGCCATTCAATTCTTCACGATTTACATATTTAACACATTTTAATTTTATCATACATGTCACTCACCTATGCATAAAAAAATGTATTTTAATTTAAATAGTAACATTTTTGATGTGATATGAATGATTTTGGGTGTTAGAAATGTAAGAGAATAGAATTTAGGTGTCAGATATGTAATTACATAGAAATTGAGTGGCATGTTTGTAAATGCATTTAATTCTGGTTGTTTGAATTTTTAATATCACTTAAAATCCTGCACATATATTTTCAAAAGTATTATGATGCACCCTCACATATATTAAGTACATTTTTATTTTAAGATTAAATAAAATAGGATGAAAATGCGTTTCAACTTGTACTTTACTGGTGGAAAAAAAATGAATAATCCTACAAATTGTGTTAGATAACTAATTATGCGTGAGAATTAGTGCTCAATTATAAAATGTAAAATTACTTTGGCCAATTTTAAAAATATAAAATAATGTACTCTTTGGGACGTTCTTTCAGCTAAGAAGTCACAACTATTCAGGCGTACTCGTTCAAGTTTTAAGGCATATTCCACTAAAAACAGGGGACCCTCTCAAACTCATGAGCTGTGCACCATCATTGGTTTTAGCAAGTAAACAACTTTCTATAATCAAGTAGAAGACATAAATAAGAACTCAATTAAAAGGTTAATAATCGTTATTATTGTTGTGTGCTAGAGAATTCAGGTTGATAGAGTGATATATTAACGTCTTAGTATTGCACAAAGATCCAACACACAGATAAAGAGAAATTGAGAGAAGATATCAGAAGATCTTGCGTGGAGAACCCACAAGGAAAAAAATCAAGAGATCTGGACTATTTGAAATGATTCCACTATGTTATTATAAGTTATAAGACTTTGATGATCATTGAATAGTCGAAATCAATATTACATAAGTGGGTGTGTCTTTTGTGAGGGAAGAGAGTTAGAAAAGATTGAAGAAGTGGCAACGACCTAGCTGCCATGAAGAAAAGCTGATGCAAGTGTCTTCGGTAGAGACAACTTGATGGTGGTGGTGGCGCCGATGACAATGGTGGTGATGGTTGTTTAGTGATGGTATAGCCGCAATAGCTAGGCACTGGTGGTCTAGCGTTGGTTGAGCTTGGCGAAGGCAATCAGGCTAGGATTTTGGAGGTATTGGAGCTCGGGAATCCTCGGAACTTTGGATCTCCCTTCATCTTTTTCCTCAATGTCCAGGTCCCAAGTCCCTCTTCATGAAGGAAGTGGAGGCATATTTGTAGATTTAGTGAGTGATATCCTTCGTAAATACAACATAAATCCTAACCACTCCATCAGACAACCTAGAGCGATCCCTTTGATCGAATGGTGTTGTATGAGCATTTGAGTGTCTAAGATGTCAAAATACATTGGTCTCGGGCTCGTTGGGTTCGACTCGATAAGACGCTCAATTTCACTATAAGCTTACTAGATTTAGAATCCATTGACCATTCAATTGCCGATCCAAAGCCTCCAATTGTGTTTAGATGATTTGATATGGGCATAATTAGAATTGAATTTGAACTAATTGTGGCTTCATTGAGCTCGCCTCGTCAAGACGTTTAGTTTGAAAATAAGTTTGATGGAATAGAAGCTCTGGATGATTTTGATTTTAAATCTGGAACATTTATTGTTTGTAATGCTCCTACATTTGTGCATGATTAAAATAATTTTTTAAGGACGTGTCAATAACATAGTAAAGTTACATGCGTTGTATATTTTATAGCAAACTATTATCAAGTTTTGTTATATATTTTCAAGCTTATTCATGTAATTCAATACATAAACATCCTTGTTATACTATTTTTTGAACTTAATAATAGGTGGTTGGAGGCATCTTACGAAACATTGCATTAATTACGAATAAATTACATTTATACCAACGATTGTGGACGTGCTGGAGTGGTTATCGGGCATGACTAGAAATCATGTGGGCTTTGCCCGCGCAGGTTCGAATCCTGCCGTCCACGATTTTTTTATTTTGCTAAGGAAAAAAATCAGGGCATTTACATATATGCCACAGAATTTTGATGTATTTATACATCCGACCCTAAAGTTTCATGCTTATATGAGCTATGCTTGTAAATTCCCCATAAATTAATGCTTAATTTGTTTTCTCTGTTTTGTTGGGCTGTTTGAAGTTGCATGTTTAAAGATCTTAAGCAAGTTTATTTACTCATAATTTTCTTTAATCCTTCATTTTAGAGTTGAAGAAATAATATAATAAATTAAATAATTGTGTTTATCGTTATAAGAAAATTGATCAAATCAGATTAATGCTTATTTCCCCCCCCTTAAATACACCATTATTATCCCTAAACATTAAAAAAAATTTTATAATTATCCATCAAAATAAACAAATTGTACTCATTAATATTCTTAATTTATTTTTCAAGAGTTTAATTGATGAGATTAAAAAAAAAGTAAAATATCATCGATCCATAATTTTTTTCTCAGTATAAGTTTTCATTTTATTTAGGATGATTTACATATATACCTTACCACTCACATCTTATTTGTTTGCATATGTAACCTTCAAACTTAAATTTTTATATATATGCCACCCAACTTCTGCATAAAAATGTGTATTTCAGTTGTTAGAAGTTAAAATAGCAGCACTTTTAATGTGATTTGAAAGATTTAGGTGGAAAAAAATGTAAAAAACAAAGTTTAGATGTGAAGATATGCAAATACATTGGAATTATGTGGTATGGATGTAATCGCCTTTATTTTAACACTTTAATATGGCTCAAACACTATAAGCTTCATGGTGTATTATTTTATTTTTAAATATAAAAGGTGCATTAACATACATACCACACAATTCCTCTGTATTTACATATCTATCATTTAAAAGTAGGGCTGTCAATTTGGCTCGTTGTTAGTGAACAGCTCACTTAAAACATTTATATTTACATGCATATCACTTGACCAACGCATTATAAATACAGATATCAAACTTTGTGTTAATATGTAAATACATAAGAATATTGTGAAATGTAAGTAGTCTTCTCAATAAAAAAAAATGACATTTACATACATACCAGACAATTCTCATATATTTGCTTACCAAACACCCAAACATTCATGTTTATATAAAAAATATTAGTGCCTAAACTACAAAATATCGAAAATGCGCGAATGAATCCGATAAGATTATTAAAGGATAATTACGTGCAAAAGATCCAAAACATTGATATTTACAAATCAAGCACCCAGGTAAGTTTTTGAACTACCAAACCGATACATTTACGCATCCCAAGTTCAAAGCATCGAAAATTTGATAAAAATGAAAAATATGGGTTGGGGCTTTATCATGAATTTTGACATTTGAGTGAGAATTTGAAATATGGATGAAAGATGGAGCTTGATTTGTGCAGAGTAATGTTTCGGGTGCTCTTTGTGTAAATGCCGCCTTTTTATAAAATTAAATTTCACTTGTTACAGATCTATCCTTCACATTCTTTGAGATAAGCTTCAACACCTGGATCATAGGTCGCTGCTATTTTCAAATACTTTGCAGCCTCGGACTTTTCACCCAATTGGAATAAAGTGCTGCATTTCAGTAAATTCAGTGAGAATAATATAGCTTGAAATTATCAAAATTACAAATCTAAATGAAAATTTCTAGCTTTGCTACCTTCCCAGCATCACCAAACCCCTATAATAGCAGGCTTTATCCATGGGACCATCTGGCTCCCTCAACTCTGCAATCTTCTTCAAGTGCTCTATTCCATCTGAGTTTCTTCCCTACCAATATTTACATAGTTGCAGATCACCCATCATGTATTTACATGCATACCAGTCAATTCTTAGGTATTTACATATTTATTGCCGAAACTTCAATTTTACATATATGTTACATTAACTATGCATGAAAAGGTGTATTTCACTTTTTAAAATCTTAAATAGTGATGTTTTCGATGTGATAATAAAGATTTGGGCGGTATAAATGTACAAAGCAAAGTTTAGGTGTTAGATATGTAAATACATAAGAATTGAGTGGTATGTATGTAAGTGTAAATGACCCTAGAACAAAACTAACTCACCTGCCATATCCTTGAAACTCCAGCCCCAAAAAGTGAAAGAACAAGAAGACCAATCTCCTCTTCTTTGATCTGTTGTCAACCAGTTAGATAACAAAATGGCTTCATTTATTTCAACATTTCAACCCAAACAATCAGCAAAATTTCAAGCAAACACGATAAAAAAACATTTCAGATCATACGTATGAGAGCTTTGGGATGGCGAGCTCGAAATTTTCAGCTGCTTCTTCAAATAACTTCTTAGAGCACAGAATCTGTCCTATGGCGACCAAAGCTTGTACTTGTTCTGGATCTTTTTCAATTGTTTTTCTGTACCGTTAGCATTACAGAGTTTATTAGAAAAAGAAACATGAAAAAAAAACAAAAAATTTAAGATGATTAATGGAAATTGCAAGTTTACCGCAACAAAATTAGAGCTTTATCTTGATCACCACTCGCCATGTATTTAAGAGCAAGCTTTTTATATGACAGCAAAACAAACATGTAAAACAACAGTTACAATTCAAAACATTAAAATCAAGGAAAATTTTCATACATAAATACAGCTCAATTCCTAGATCTTTACATATCTAACAACTAAACATCAATTTTTTACATATATACCATCTTATCTATGCATGAAAAATTGTATTTCACTTGTTTAAAGTTAAAATGATGGTATTTTCGATATGATATTGAAGCCTTGGAACGTATAAATGTAAAAAGTACAATTTAGGTGTTAGATTTATAAATACATATGAATTGGGTGGTATGTATGTAAATGCTCCTAAAATCAGATGGAGTTGAATTAGCCATCTGTTTACCTCAAGCAGTTTTTTAGGAGGTACAGCTTCTATAGGTATTAGGATCTCCGACGCTGCTGCACCATCATTCTCTTTATCTCTGGTTGCCGCCTCCATTAAATTAGGCAAACCCAATCGATTTCGAACAGTTGGATTTTTTAAACACAATTGCTGCATAAAGTAAAGCTTAGTTTTTGGATAAAGTCGATTGTAGAATGTAAATACTAACTGTGTTTTCATACATATATGTGCACAAAGATATAACATTTTTTATAAGTTAAAAGTTTCAGGCTCTTTAGATATGTTGAGCTAAAATAGGTCATAAGTGATAAATTCTGAATTACAGCAACGCTGGCTGCTATGAAACCGAAATAAGCTTGCTACAGGGAAAAGAGTAAAATGTCAAAAAACAGAATTACAAACTTTGTATCCTAAATACGTAGAGGGAGAACTGATCCTGAGGCTTTCGATTGGTAGCAGGGAGTAGTAGAGTTAATGCCTTTTGTTGCCTAGCAGTGCAGGGTTGTTATTCCACCTCTAGCTGACTATCGGGTGGAGTGATAGTAAGCCTGATCCAATGATTGTTGAATGTAGCTGCAGTGTGACTTTTTGTGAAGATATCGGCCCCTTGATCCATTGAACAGATGTGTAGAATTTGAATAGCTCCAGATGCAATGTGCTCGCGAATAAAGTGGCAGCCAATTTTTAACATGTTTTGTGTGGCATGGAAAATTAGATTGGGAGTTATAGCGATAACAGAGATGTTGTCGCAATAGATTGGTATGGAAGTACCTACAATAGATTGGTATGGAAGTACTTGTAGGTACGTAAAACTCTTGAAGAAGTCTGCGAAGCCATATCACATCTGTTGCAGCAGCAGCTAGGGCTCAGTATTTGGCTTCTGTGGAGGATCGAACCACCATTTTTTGCTTTTGAACTGTCCGGGATATAAGAGTTCTGCCAAAAAATGTGTAGAATCCAATGGTTGAGAATATGTCCTGGGAATCACCGGACCACTCGGACCCCAAATATGTGCAAAGTTGTAGATTCCCTTTGGTGATGATAAGGAGACTGAAGAAGAGAGTTCCTTTGAGATATCATAGGAAATGTTTGATGAGCTGGATGTGGCAGATAAGAGGTTGGTGCATATGCTGACAAATTTGGTTGATGGCAAAAGCGATGTCTGGTCTAGTAATAGTGATGAATTGGAGAGAACCAGCTAGCTTTCGGTATTGGGTGATGCCATGGTACTCTTGTAGAGAAGCTTGGGTTGCAGCTTATGGGGGAGAGGTGTATGTACAAGTTTACATGTTGAAGTCATGCCAAGCTGCCAAAGGAGAGATGTAATGTAGGAGTTTGGTTGAGATGATAGCCTCGGGGCGTTTGGGTAGTGGTAAAGCCAAGGAATGTCTTGATGGGTCCAAGTTTCTTTACCTGAACTTCAGTTTTGAGATTTTGTATAAGACTAGCAATAGCGAGCGGGTTGTTACATGTAATGAGGATGTCATCCATGTACACAAGGAAGTATGTTGTGATTAGGTTGTTGTCAGTCAACTTTTTCGATGAATTTGAAAATATGGATATAAAAATAATTTTTGAAATTTAATTTAATATAATAGATATAAAGTTTGGGTTTTGAAAGTAGTATGTTTTAATTTTTGAAAAATGAGACCAAATGGATCTCATTCGTCCAACAGTTTGCATAATCGTACCTGATACCACGAATACTACACCCTCCCGAAAGATAAGTGTAGACCTCGACGATAGACCCAATCCTGCAAACTAAGAGATTTGCGACATCCGTTGGTCTGCGAACCTTTTTATGTATGACCGACAAGTTCTCTTATCTAATACAAAGATTAAATAGGGCTTATTTTACCTGGGTTCCAAGTTCTCTATAAAGGCAAACCCCTATAGTTAATTACATCTCAAATGATTGGAGTCACTTGAGAAAACTCTCGATAATGATCAGTGGTTCTAGTCTTCAAGATTTCAAGGTTTAGGTTTTCACGGTAGGACGTGGAAAAAAAAACAAGTGAAAGTGACTCAAGTAGGAACAGTTATTTCAAGAGTCTAGAGAAAAGAAAAAGTAGGGGATGTCCTAGATCTTGAGAACCCTCAGTGACTTCCCAAACTATTCTACTGTGTGGCTGCATTTTAGAAAAGATGTTATTTGAATGTTTAATCCTGCCAATTTTATTATTTGGGACTTACGAATGCATAATACTCGATTATGCAAATAGCCCGAAAAAATAAGAGGGTTTTCGTCGTGTCACACGACAACCTCGGAACCTAAGGCGGGCTAGGACTTACGCTGCACAACATGGTTGTACAGGAGCCTAAAAAGGGTGTAAGGATTTACATCGCGCTGGGCGAGCTACCTCGAAGTCATATGGGTTGTTATTTAGACTAATGAGAGAGATTGTTGAAGAAGATCATCTTGTTGCTCAATTCAAGTTCCTTGCCGTGCTGCCCACAAAGCTGACTCCAAGCTCCTTGTTGAAGTAGCACTCCTAATGTCTAAGATTCAAAAGTTATAACGTAAAATGTTGTAGATAAACTATAAAAGCGTATATGAGCATTTGCTACTGTTGCGTTATTAATGTTGGGGCATAGCATGATTTGCAGGAGATTTAAATAAAC